TCAGTCTGTGGTCATTTTACATCACTTTGTTATTATCTAGTGGATTAATTTGTGGTGATTTCTTGTCTATTTGTGTTCTTTTGTGTCAATTTGTGGACTCTGTGGTTGTTCTGGGTCACTTTTGGTTGCTGTTCATCACTCTGCGGTCATTCTGAATTACTTTACAATTGTCTTGTGTCACTTTCTGGTCATTTTGTGCCGGTTTGTGGATGTTTTATGTTCATTTTTTATTGTCATTTTACATCACCGTGTCACTTTGTGGTTATTTTATGTCACTTTGCGGATACTTGTCATTGTTATTTTGAGCCACACTACACTACCAAAGGGAGTTGAATTACTTGTGTGTAACAACACTTTGCATTTTAAGTTAATCTGATATTTACTATTTATGAATTTGTCCAAAAACAGCGCGAAAGTTGACATATTTGTGCTCATTTCTACCTCAAACATATATTTTTAACAGACTGAAAACAAGTAATTTAATATCCAATCAAATAATCCACATGACTGAGGTGTGTTTGCGTTTGTTTTACTTGTCTTTCTTTAGGAGTTTAACACTAACATGCAGCAGGTGTTGCACACTTGTTGTCTTTGAATATTGTAGTTTTTATCTGGTCTTGTAAAATAACAATACACACATTAGAATATGTGAGCTATTTTTGGTATTGTTTTTACTTATATGCAATAATAATACTCTATCAGTATTACTAGTAATTAAAAATATGTGCAGTAGTGTTTATTTTTTAGAACTAGCACTTAGACCTAGCACCTATTATCTCTTATAAATAAACTAAGTCCATTTAAACATGCAGTGTATTTTAGAGGTTATTTGTGAAGGCAGGAGAAGTTAACTCGATCAACAGCAGTGGACTCTGAATAATTAATGCCTGCAGCTTCAGTCCAAGTCTCCGTTTACCGCCGTGTGTCTGTGGAGGAAGTTAAATGTAAAGTTGGTGGTGCTGAACGGACAGCGCCTCTAACCAGCTAACGTTAGCCGGTTAGCTAACTAACTAACCAGTAATCTGCTTAGCTGCTCCACCACTTTAACTAACCGGTTAACCAGTTAAAACGCGGCCACTTAACTTAGTTATGTGTTGTTCTGCTGCTGGACTAACGTTAATGTTCCCTCCTACCTTCGGCCACCGGTTGCGGAGCAGCAGCTGCAGGGATCCGGACAGAGAGCGCACACAGCGGGCCGTCATGGTCACCGTCCCCCGGGAGATGGAGGAGGAGGAGGAGGAGGAGCCGGGGGCGAGCGGCGCGCTCCCGGTTAATCTCTTTTAGTGTCACACACACACACACACACACAGAGAGAGAGAGAGAGAGAGAGAGAGAGAGTCACCCAGAGGACGGGCCTTCTGTTGCATTTATTTCTTCCTCGGTGCCAGAATTTATTAAATTTAATCTGTTGTTGTGTTGTTTGCTGCAATTTTGTGATTAGTTTAGAGTCCCAGTGTGGTTGTTGTGTGTCTTCTTGTTGTTGTCTTGCATCACCCACTGGTTATTCTGCATCACTTCATGGTTGTTTTGGGTCACTTTGCATCACTGTTAAGTCATTTTGCATTGCTTTGTGGTTGTTTGCACTTCTTCCTCGTCTTGTTTTGTTAATTTGTGTCACTTTGTGTTTGTGTTGAATCTCTTTGTGGGTGTTTTGTGTCTCTTTTTGGTCCCTATTTGTCGCTGTGTGGTCATTTTGTGTCACATTGGGTTCTTTTAAATCTATTTGCGGCTGTTTTGTGTCTCTTTGTGCTTCTTTTGTGTAACTGTGTGGTCATTCTGCATCACTTTATGGTTGTATTGTGTCATTTTGCCTCACTGCTACTGTTTTGCATCACTTTTTATATAGATAGATAGATAGATAGATAGATAGATAGATAGATAGATAGATAGATAGATAGATAGATAGATGGATCTGTATTGATCCCTTTGGTAGAACTTCAGAGAAATTGTCCCTTTGTGGTTGTTTGCACTTCTTTTGGTTGTTGTTTTGTCAATTTGTGTCATTTTGTGTTTGTTTTGTGTCTGTTTTTGGTCCCTGTTTTTCGCTGTGTAGTCATTCTGTGTCATATTAGGTTGTTTTTAAGAATTTTGTGGTTGTTTTTGAGCTCTTTATGCTTCTTTTGTGTAACTTTGTGGTCATTCTGCATCACTTTATGGTTGCATCGTGTCATTTGCCTCAATGCTACTGTTTTGCATCACTTTTTAGTCATTTTGCATTGTTTTTTTAGTTGTTTGCACTTCTTTTAGTTGTTTTTTTTGTCACTTTTATGTGACTTTGTGTTTTGAATCTATTTGTGGCAGTTTGAAGTCTCTTTTTGCTCCCTATTTGTCAGTGTGTGGTCACTGTGTGTCATATTGTAACTGCTTTTGGTCTCAGTGTGGGTGTTTCATGGTGTCTGTGGGTGTTTTGTGTGACTTTGTGGTCATTCTGCATCACTTTATGGCTGTTTTGTGTCATTTTGCATCACTGTTTCGTATTTTTGCATTGCTTTGTGGTTGTTTGCACTTTCTTTTGGTTGTTTTTTTGTCACTGTGTCACTTTCTGTTTGTTTTGAATGTCTTTGGAGCTGTTTTGTTGGTTTGTTTTGCATCTTTTTATGTATGTTTTTGGTTCATTTCTGCATCTTTTTTGTGTCACTTTGTGGCTGTTTTTTGGTTTCTGTGGCTGCTTTGGGTCTCTTTCTGGTCATTTAAGTATATTTGTGGTCATTCTGCATCATTTTGTGGTTGTTTTGAATCTCTTGTAGCTGCTTTGTGTTACCCTTGGGTCATTTGTTCTTTCTTTTTTGTTTTGTGCCATCATTGGTATCGTCTGTCTTTTTTGTCATTTCACTTTGGTCTGTAGTCATTTGAATTCATGTTGTTATTATTTGTGTGGTTTTGCATCACCTTGTAGTTGTTTTGTTTGTCTTACCTGTCTCTGTAGTTGGTTTGCATCACTTTGTAGTCATTTAGAATTGTTTGTTTGTTGTTTGCACCTCATTTTGGTTGTTTGTTGGTTGTGTTTGGCCAGTTTGTGTCACTTTATGTTTGTTTTGAATGTCTTTGTGACTGTTTCTTGGCATCTTTGTGGTCATTTTGCATCGTTTTGTGGTTGTTTTCTGGGTTTTTTTTGTAGTTGTAGCATCACCCAGTGGTGCATCACTTTGTGGTTGTGCATGTTTTGTTGTTTTGTGTCTTTTTGTAGTTGTTTAGCATTACACATCGGTAATTTTAATTCTCTTTGTTGCTTTTACCTGCCTCTGTAGTTGTTTTCCCTTGCTTTGCATTGTGTTGCTCTTTTTAGTTGTTTTTTGTCGCTTTTGGTCACTTTGTGTTTGTAGTCGTTTTGCATTGCTCTGTGCTCTTACTTGTCATTACTTTGTTGTTTCGTATCACCTTGTAGTTGTTTTTTTTGTCAATTCATCAGTTATTGGTCAATTTGGGATCATTTTGACTCACTTTTGATTGATTTGTGTCACTTGCTTTTTGTTTTGAATGTGTCTGTGCAGCTTTGGGTGTCTTTGGGATCCTTTAGTGTCACCTTGTGGTCATTCTCCGTCATTTTCGGGTTGTTTTTGACTCTTTTGTGGTGTTTTTTGGTGTATTTGGTGCCACTGTGGTTGTTCTGCATCATTTTGTGATTGTTTTGCGTCGCTCTTTGGTCATTATTTTTGCTCTGTGTGACTCTGTGTTCATTGTTACATCATTGTTTTGTAGTTTTGCATCACTTTGTGTTTGTTCCCTGTTGGTTTGAAGTCATCTTGTGGTTATTCAGAGACACTTTGTGACAATACAAGGTTTTCTAGTCATTTTTGTGGTTAATTTCCATCATGTTGGGGTTGTTTTGTGTGTCCTTGTCGTCATTTTGCAGCTTTTTGTGGTTGTTTGACTGGGCATCCACTAACCTGTGCCCCCTCTAAGAGAGCGTTTGTAGTTTTTGATGAGAGGATGCGGAGACTGTGAAGCTTCCGTCCTCCGTATCACCATGGCAACCCGAGCAGGGAGCCCTGAGGGCCCGCTGGCCTACTTAGTTCACTCCTCATTTCTCCCACAACACTTTCTCCTCCGAGAGCAGCACAACCGAACACAACCACCGGGGGGCGACAGACTCACAGAGATCAGACGGGACAGCGCCATTCTACCTGTTACACTCTGCAACTGCGCGTGGATTAAATTACCACTGATTCATATTTAATATTCAAACTCTCTTGTTGTCACTTGTTGTATTTCCAGCATCGTTTGCTCAAGCACGTGTTTAGTGCCACCACAGCACAGATCAACATTTGTGTAAGGCAGCAGCAGTTGTATGAAGGATTGCGTTTTATGTGTTTATTTAGCGAACACACAGTTGGAATCCGGGTTTGGGATTTTAAACTGACAAAACAGCAGCGTTTCTACTTGATTCACTTGTGGACCACTTTGAGAAATTCTACTCTCCAGCTTTTCATCCTCATCCAAACTGTCGGCGTCTTTCCGCTGGTAGTTGTAGTTTTTCTCGCTCTGCCAGCACAGCTTTGTCTTTGGACGTAGCGCCGCCGCCGGACTACATTTCCCAGCGTCCCCCGCGGCCGCGCCTCCTCCCTCACCTCCCTCCGCCTTCCCTCCCACTCCACTGGGCCGCGAGGAAGTCGCAAGATGGCTGATGTCGCTTGGAAGTAATGTTCCCCTCTGCAACATGAAGCCGTGAGTGTGGAAGAAAGCGAGGGAGGCACCATCGGGCTTTTATTTTTATTTTCTTTTAGTTACTTTTCTTTTATTTCGTTAAACATCCATCTCATTCCGCGTCGTGTCCGCCCCGGACTTGTCTTCGGGAGTTGACGCGTCAAATCACGCCGGGGACCCTGCCAGCAGCTAGCAGCTAGCCACAGTTAGCAAATATTAGTCCAGCTAGCCAGTCAGCCGGGCTCTCTGCTCTGTACTTTTGTTTTTTAATTCACCTTCTGACACCGGCGAGCCGACAAACTACCGCCGCACACGTGCTGAAATCCGCCGGAGCTAGCTCAGAGTACATGACAAGGTTTTCAGCTGTCAGATAAAAACTCCCGATTTTTCGAGCCGCTCGGTTCAACATCATGTCCGCGAACTGGCCGTCCAGCCTGCGGGTTGCTAACTAATGCGCAGTATTGCATCTGTTTCATGTGCACCAACCAGCAGGATCATTGCTTCTTTTTTTTTTTTGTAGACATTTCTCCGTAAACATCCACCACCTCGCTGCGTTTCCGTTACTTGCTGCCAACTACATTTCGTACGCCGGTTGTGTTGAAGCCAAATTATGGGTGCGGGGAATGTGTTGAACTTTTTCTGCCTGTAGGTAGCTACACTGGCCTTGCTGGCATCTCACCAAAAAAATCCACAGGGATGGACACTAAACTGAGCACCCGCGACCAAAACTGAGAAATTGGCTGTTCGGTATCTGGAAGTTAGCACCATTAGCAACGCGGCGGTGCGCGGTGACTCGTCTCGCTAGTCTACGGCGACGGAGAAGTAGTTTCGCAGGTTAACTAAACTAGTTAGTCACTACAGCGGAGACCAGCTAGCTTTGCCCGAAGTGCACAGCTAGCTACGGTCTCGCCCCACAACACAGCAGCACCACGGCGTACAGAACGTATTCAGAGCCCGCTCCCGGCCAGACGCACCGGCTCAACAACACCGTCATGGGAGTGCAGGGCTTTCAAGAGTATTTAGAGAAGCGGTGTCCCGGGGCCGCAGTCCCGGTGGACCTCCTGAAGCTCGCCCGTACCGCGGCCCGCCAGCCCCCTCACCACCATCACCCGCACCACCACCCACATCACCCCGGGCCCATGCCTCCCCCGCCCCCGCCCGCCAGGATCCTAATCGACGCTGACTCCGGCCTGCAGCGGCTGTACGGCGGCTACCAGACGGACTGGGTGTGCGGAGGCGAGTGGAACGCCATGCTGGGCTACCTGGCTGCCCTGTCTCAGGCCTGCCTGTATCAGGGGGGCCTGGAGCTGGTCGTGGTTTTCAACGGCACACTGGGGAAGGAGCGCTGGCCCGAGTGGGCGCGGCGAGCTCAGGGCCAGCGACAGACGGCGCAGCTGATAGTCAACCACGTCGGCAGCAAGGCCACCCCGCCTCCCCGGGCATGGTTCCTGCCCCCGGCCTGCCTCAGCCACTGCGTGCGCCTCGCCATGTTCCGCTTCCGAGTGCGGGTGAGCAAAGTGATCATGGCTTTGTGAAGTTGTTTTATTGTGGTCGTATGGCAGGCCGTTCATTTTACACTTGCCCTTTTAGTGCTACACGCCCATTTAGCAGCTTACATCATGCAGAGCCGTTTTAACTCCTTCCAGTTTGCGGCCAGCAGCAGCAGCAGCAGCAGCTACCGGCTCTGACCGCCGGAATGAATCCGCCTGGCACTGGTTGTTTAATGATTTGCAATAATGCACACACAGTTTGACAAACAGGCTGCTCCCTGCTCCCATGCATGTGTCTGGGATGGCCTGCTGGGAGGAGAAATAAAACCAGTGCAACTGATTTTGTGTTTGTCTAAAGATAAATTGAGGAGCAGCTGCAGGCGAACCAGACTGTGCTTCTGTATTTAAGTAGGTTTGGAAGCATGCATCTTAAAGAGTGACCTAGTCTAGCCTATATATTACATAACAGGAACTCAATGAACCTTTACATACATTGTTGAAGAGTTGCTGAGTGGAAACCCTATTTATAGCCCCCCAGTTCCTCACTGTGGCACATTTTGTATTATTCTGTGCATTCCAGTAGCTCTGCGTTTGAGAACAGTCAGAATAATTTGCTATTTTTGTGCATTTAACCTCATGACACGGTAGTATTTGCCCTGATACAAGCCATAGCAGGACGAGGTTGATGTGCTGCACACTTTACTATTATTAGGCTGCTATACTGGATATAGTGAGGTGAGTGTGAGTCACAACGGCCTGCCATAAATGCAACCTAACCACCGATTGCCTGTCAAGGTTCCCTCCTGTCAGCTTCAGCCGCTGTCACGTTGTGCCTTTGATCTACTTTTCCATCTGCTTGCATGCTGGCGTAACTAAAACACAATGCCATAGTGTATCCTGAGAGGATACTTGTTAGAATAGAAAAATCCCACCCACATTACACTACAACGCACTCTGATGCTTCTTGCGCTTGTACAGCATCATTACTCACAGTTCCCATGTGTGCTCGCTTGTTTTTCCTACCTGTATTCTGAGAAACAGTCCTGTTTCTGCAGCTCCAAGTATCCCTGCTTGGATTACACCCTCACTACACTCATCGCCGTTCACATCTCTGCAGCTATTGCTTTGGGGCTAGCTTCTTGTCTGTTGCATGCCGGCCTTTGTTGGGAATTGTTGCTCATGCATAGTTCTGACAGTTCAAATTAAATTATTTTCAGTTTTATTGTCAGTGAGTGACAACATGAAGCAGTTTAAATAAGTCTGCCATCTAACAGTTTCCTCATAATCGTCCTCGCCACCCTTGTCCCATATCGCATTCATTTGAACATTTGATTATCAGCTCATTAAATAGATTTTTAATAAAGTAACTCGGGGTAATTATTTAGTTTTCACATTGATTAACTGTGCCGGTGATTAACATGATTAACATAACAATTCTGGCATCACCCTGCTCTCTCTCATGCACCGTTTTGGTTCTGCATCACTGCTTTCTAAAGAATTCATGTCGCTGTACGTCCAGATTTCTGCATCACCAGTAAATTAAAAGTACCTGATGCAGCACAGATGCATTTTTGCAAGCGAACAATGGTTTATGAAGTGTCGCCATGGGTCACGGAGCAAAAGTATTTTGCTGGTATACGAAATGTCAGCACCACCGGCGGTCTGTCGTCTCTACATCCATCATCAAACGAGTGTATAGCAGTGACTGCTAGCATGTTAGCTCGTCAGGTTCACTGTTGTCGCTCCATATTTTTACACTTATTTTTACTCTCTTAGGCATTTTTTTTCTCCATTGTCTGCATGAAATTATACAGAAACAGCTACTGTAGGCAAAAAACAGGAGAAAACGAAACGGTCAAAGAATAATTCCACACAAACTCAGTAGAAATTCTAATTATTTCAGTTAGAAATAACGTCTGAGCAACACGATACAGTTTGGTGTTTGTGCTGGTACATCTCCCACAAGACATTTTTCTAAATATTTCAGAAAATATTAAGAACACAAGCTTTTTCTTTTCCCTGAACAGCTTAAGCCAAGGGTGTCCAATCCTGGTCCTCGAGGGCCACAGTCCTGCATGTTTTAGATGTTTCCCTTCTTCCAACACACCTGATTCAAATGATCAGCTCATCATCAAGCTCTGCAGAAGCCTGATAACGATCCTGATCATTTGAATCAGGTGTGTTGGAAGAGGGAAACATCTAAAACATGCAGGACTGTGGCCCTCCAGGACCAGGATTGGACACCCCTGGCTTAAATAAATATTAAATGTTATTTTCAGTGCAGACTGATTAGTCCCTCTTTTTCTTTATTAATAGTTTTGTCACTAAAACATTGGAGAATAATTTGTTTCAACTTTCTTTCTAATCAACAGACCAAAATACAACGTGTTCCCTTAACAGTGATTAAAAAATAAAGTAAAACAGAAAAAACAGGACCTGGATCTGTAGTAATTTGACATTTCCTCCTAAAAATAGCACTTAAACAACTTTCTGTTGATCAGCTAACTGATCAACGAACCACTGCAGCTTCAAACTACTGCACTGCTTGTGCTTCCAATATGAGACAGAGGGTGACTGCATGTTTCAATCTTTTCGGCTGCAGGAGACTCAGTCTGTCCGTTGTGCATCCACAGGTTGTACAGACTTTGGAGGACCACCACCAGGAAGTGCTGTCTCTCTACAGGGACTACGGATTCGCCGGCCTGATCGCTCAGGACTCCGAGTTCGCCCTGTGCAACGTACCCGCCTACTTCTCTTCGCACGCGCTCAAACTGAGCTGGAACGGCAAGAACCTGACCACACACCAGTACCTGCTGTCTGAGGCCGCCAGGCAGCTCGGGCTCAAGACACAGCACCTGCCCTGCTTCGCTGCTCTGCTAGGTGAGGACAACCAAACACGTGTCCCTCGTTTGTCTTTCTCGCTCTCCGCTGAAAGGCCCAGTTGTATTTCTGGCAGCGTGCTTCGTCTGTCGTTGTTTTTCATTGACGCAGCAAACATTTCAAAGAGCCTCTTACTTGCAGGAAATCATATTCTGCCTGATGAGGACCTGGCTGCCTTCCACTGGAGTCTGCTGGGACCAGAACACCCACTAGCTTCCCTCAAGGTACCCAATGCCGCTACGTCCACAACGCAGTTTACTCTGAGGAAATATTAGCTCTAGCACTAGCATGCCGTCCTGCGGGTGGAGCTGGAGAATGGACGTGCAGCCGCGGAGAGGAGGATGTTGTCAGAACTCCTCTCCATCATGTCTCCGCCCTCCACAGCGTTCTGGCTCCACGGAGGAGAGACGAGTCATGACTAAATGTTTCACTGAGCGTCTCAGGAGGCCGTCGGTTATATAATTCCCTCTCAATTTTACTTTATAAAATTATATCTGATTTTTAAATTTAATTTAGCAAATTCCACAAACTTGCGCAAATGGTCCAAAATAGTTTCCCTCAAAATAACAAGAATAAAGGCATGAGGTATCTTAGTCAGACTTTAAATCTTATTCTGCAATATTAGGTGAACATTTTAAACGTTGTGTATTTGTTCTATTGATTTGTTTGTACTGTTATTGCAAACTCCACATCTGTTTCACAATAAAAGCCCACCTGTGGGCCTATCAAAGGCTTTTATTGTGAAACATTTGCAAAAAAAAAATGTTGAAAACTTCCTAAAATCACAAAACTGAAATCAGAAGGAGACATAGTTTGAAGGAATCAATGTTCAGATAATTAGAAAGTGACGATTAAACACCAGAATGAAAAAGAAATATATATATTTTACAAATTCATATCTGTTTCACAATAAAAGCCCACCTGTGGTCCTGTAGAAGGCTTTTATTGTGAAACATGCTGAAAATGTGAATTAACAGCATCCTAAAAAAAGATTTGATTAAATAATTTAGTGATTAGAAGTAAACGTAGTTTGGTTTTTGGGAGAAATAAAATGCGTGTAATTAGAAAGTGATGACCGAACAGAATTTAAAAATAAAAAATCTATTTACATTTCCAGATCTCACTTCTGTTTCACAATAATATCACACATGGAAATATTTGCAGGAAACGTTAATAAAATCACAAAACAGAAATGATTGGAATTCATATTTTAGTGAGAGGAAGTAAAACATTCAAATAACTAGAAAATTAAAAACAAACTTATTTTTTGCATCTGTTTCAGTTTGTCTACAGAAGTGAATTAAATGAACTTTGTACAGAATCATTTTTTTCATGTTAGACTAAACAATCTTAATCTTAGACAAACTGTCCTGGTCATTGTTTATACAGGAGATATGAAAGAGGACGTATTTGTACGTATAACTAAACATGTTTGATTTCTTTTTGAATGTCACAGTAAAACTAAGAATGTTTGGATGCAGTGGGCCAGAATGGTTCCACATGACCAAGAAAAACTAGAAATGTTTGTTTCAGATGTTGGCTGTTATTGATCATACTCACAGATCAGATAAATTTGGATGAAGGTGGCAGTTTACAGGCAGACTTCATAAACGCTAACGGCCAAATAAAGCCGTCAGCGCTGCCCTGAATGTGAGTATTCTAATACTGTGATCTCATCCACCGCTTTCAAAGGCATCCATTATGCGTTATGGCTCATAAACTTGCGAGGCAGTTAGTTTTTGCCGTCGCTCTTAATCAGACCTCGCGGCAGAATTAAGCTTTAACTCCACGAGCCGGGAAAGAGCTGAATCAGACGGAGTTTATTTTTCAAGACAGCCGGAATCGAAGGCAGATTCTTCACATTTGTCACTTTTGAGACCAAAATGGAGTTTAGATTTTTTAAAGTCTGTGTTGTCTTTTGAATTTGTACTCGAGGACACGAACGCTTGTCGAAATTTATCACTGAAATAACAAATAATCCATCAACCAGAAACAGGAGCTGCTCTGCGTGAGTCCAAATCTGCCTCTGAGAGTCCTTTCACGGTGTCGCTCAGCTCCCTGTATGTATGCATGAACACCTTTTGTTGTGCCGCTCTGTCAGGTGCGAGCCCATCAGTTGGTGCTGCCGCCCTGTGAGGTGGTGATCAAAGCCGTCTCAGAGTACGTCTCCTCCATCAAAGACCTGGGGAACCTCGACGCCATCGCCAGAGATGTCTTCAAACAGTCACAGGTAGGTCACGCACGTCCTCGTATTGGTGAATCGAGGGTCACTCTTTTCGTATTTTGCTAGAACAGTGAACGTGGCTTGTTTGGCTTTACATACCAGACTGACGGTGAAATAGGTCGTCGCTGTTGACTTAAGGCCTGAGTCAGCATCTGTACTTCCTCACACTTCGCTGCTGAACTATGGCGCTGCCCCGTATCTTATATAAATCTGTGTGCAGCAGGATTAGTTAGTCATCAGAAGCTGCTGGAGCGATTACAGTGTCGATTACAAGTAAAGGTCATATTGTATAGTTGGTCAGCGGTTTGTAAATGGAGATTTTACTGTTTCGTGTTTCAATGCTATTTGTCATGTTACTGCTTTCTGACATTCGATGAGTGGGGGTGGGGGTGGGGGGTTTCCTTTGTGGTGGGGTCAGGCAATCAGACTTTGTTTTGTTTTTTTTCTACTGAACCCCGCGGCAGCAAGATTAACTTGTTTACCTGAACCGCTAATGAAGCTCGGCTAACTTAACGCAGCCGGTTTAATGTAGAAAAAAACAAACTATAAAATGATTTCAGTGTGAAGCAGTAATAACAGGAAATGTTTGGTTTGTAGAAGCAGCAGCAGCATAGCACGGTCTGTAGCCGAAAGCGATGAAGAAACAGCAAAATAATCACCGCTCCACACTAACTTTGCACCTGCACATCATTTCGATGCACTCCAAAACTTTTACGGCACCTTTTGGCACTAAATATAACACATTAAAACGCTCCATTTTTTATTACCGTAAATGTTGGACTATTGAGGCACCTGAATATAAGCCGCACCCACTAAGTTGTGTACAAATACAGGCCGCACTTGTCTGTAAGCTGCAGGTGTCCACGTTGTAACATGAGATATTTACGCAGAAAGCTTTTTTAGCTTTTAGTTAAATACGTACCGGTAACATACACAAATACGTAAATGCTTTTTTACAAACAGTTCCTGTAACACGGCTGGTTAAGAAAATATAACTACAGCAGCCTACCAGGAAAAGTCATTGATCGCTATCTTCATCTTCCTCCTGCCACTAGAACCACTAAAGTCGTCTTCTTCAGCCTCAGAATTCCTTCGTCACACACTTCCTCAGTCTCTCTTTCGCTCTCAATGTCACTTTTGTCTCGAGGCAAATTCGTAAAACTCGTAAAAATCCATAAATTAGCTGCATCATTGGTTAAGCCACAGTGTTCAAAGCGTGTGAAGAAAGTAGCGGCTTATAGTCTGGACATTACGGTAATTGATTGTAAACAGGAATAAAGGTGCTGCTAACTCCAGAATAAACCCGATCAGTTTAAAGTTGGTTCACTGGTGGAAAGATTTTAGTGTGAAGCAGGAAATGTTGAGTTTTTAGAAGCAGTAATTTAAAGTCTGTGGCTGAAAGCAATAAATAAACAGCAAAGTAATCACTGCTCCAGGCAAACCTTTGTGTTGGTCGCACCGGTGCGCCTCGTTTTTTAAATGTAGGTGCACCTGAAAGTTTTCATTTCATATGAAGTGCTTCCTTTTTGGTCGGTTCTCAGTAAATGCTTGTGAACGGGGACAAAGGTGTGTTTGTGCATTTAAACTGTTCTCTTTCATGTGGATGATCTGGGAGCTAAAGTCAGTAAATGTTGGCTGTTCTTTGGCTGTATTATACGCTGTGTTCAATGTTATTATCGGTCCTGACTCAGTGCAGGAGGAGTTCCTTGGAGACATTTTTAAGGTTTCAGTTCAGAAAGTTTGTGCCTTAGTTGTGTTTTTTTGCACTCAATGCTAAACTTGATCACAGCTCAGTGTTTTCCACAGGTTGCAGATAAACTTGTTGTTGGTGGGTGTGCATGCAGAGAGTCTAACATGGCTTGTTTTCTGAAGCTACGGTTTACCGATGCTCCCTAAACGCCTCACAAGCAGCGGTAGACGCTAGCCGTGCACAGAGAAGCTTCTAGTCTCCGTTCTGTTGCTGCAGCGCTCGTAACTCAGACAGCTGTGTTACCAAATATTAGTTTGGAAAGAGCTAATAGTTCTGATTTCAGTTCAAGCTGAGGGATTGTGTCTACCTGGGCGGGTCACTCAGGGAAGCAGATCTGCTCAATATCAGAGGCACAATGAAAATGTTCAGTCACGCTTGGCAGATTCTTGATGTGCAACCAAAATGGCCGCACGCTGGCTCTTGTACCAGGAGTGGAAACAGACTCATAGGCACAGACGTTCAAGGTTCGAGCTTAAAATTTATCAGGAGCTCAACAGAAAGAGGCTGTTTTCTCTCAAATGATCCGGGGCGGTTTATGTGCTGAAGGCAGGACTCGGGCCGGCTGCCTAACAGAACCACAGCGGTGCAGCTTGGCGCGACAATCCCCCGCTGCGAGGCTGCTGTGCAAACACATGCCATTGTGTTTCAGGCAGCTAAAGAAGACCAAGTGGTCTCGTTTGTCTTGTTATGATGGCGAACGGTTTATGCTTCGCTGGGAGGCTGAGCTAAAACTGTAACGGCTGAAACTTAACTCGGTGCAGTGAAAGTAAGAAGAAGAAGAGTTTGTTGACTAATCTAATAGTTGGTCAGCAGTTGTGATAGTTTTATAGTTTCCTCAGTTGTTCCGGCTTTTCTTTGTCAGACGTAAACTGAAAATCTTTGATCAAACAAGCAGTTTAAAGAATGAGTATGTAATATGAATTAAATTTTTTTTATTGTGTCGCCAGCTCACCTGAATAAATACCCCGTGTAGCGCTGTGACATGTTATACAAACCCAACAGGTTGTTCAGGCTCCCGCTTGGTCTCAGGTGACAAAAGAGCTGCAGAAGGCCAGATAAAAGATTTTTCCCTCTTTGTTGTGGGAACGTTGCATTGCTCAGGTTGTTGTTTTTTTGTTGTTGTAAGTTGAAGCTCCTGGACCTGAGCAGCAGCAGCAGGTTGTCGTTTGGTTTAATATCTTTTGTTCCATATTCTTCCCATTGTCGACAAACATTCATCGTAGTGAAGCAGGTTGTCTTCAAATCTTAATATGCGTGACTAATCGTCGTTATAGAGCTCCATTGTTGTTCAGAGAAATGGAACAGCATTTATTTTTAATCCCACTTTCTTGTTCCTATAAAAACCTTCTCTGGAGTATTCAGTGTGTGACCATGCGTGACAGAATGTAGTCCCCAGCAAACGCAGTATCATCTCTGCTAATGTAGACATTTAGAAACATATACAGCGTATTTGTGACCCCCTTTTTTTTTTCTTTTTTTTAAAATAAATTTTCCTCCAGTTTCATATTTTTAGCTGCAGCGGTAGCCGAGGGGTTGGTGGCTGAGTGTCACAGACAGAGCAGGGAAGTAGTTTTCTTGACAATTAGAAAAATAAAGAATATTGGGAGTGTCGTCCTCCAACGAATCTGATCTGGAATACCAAAAATTAAACCAGTTTTTCGAGTCTGACCCATTGATTCCTGTGGTTAGTAATGACACCGGTGTTCCACGTGGTTAGAAAACGCACGCTAGAATCCTGAGTCGGGATAGATCGATTGTGGGGGCAGGTATTTTTGATTTTATCGATTATCTATTGTTATTTTTATTAACCGATTATCGATAAATTCATAGCAGTTCTTTGGGTCTGTCTGTGGTCACCCTTTGGTCCCAGCAAGAGACACAACCTGAAAAAACAGAAAATTACATACTTAATGGCATGCTACGCTAACGGCTAGCGGCTCAACGAGGAGGCAGCCACAGATTAATCTGGAACAATAACTAACAAGGCTTTCAGATCTGGATCTTAATGGGCAATTAGAGTAAGAGAACAGTGAAAGATGAAGAAAACAGAGACAAACTGATTTCTATTTTACATATTCAGTGAAAGTAATCCTCATTATTTGAAGAAGCCTTGTTTTATATATATGTGTTATGTTATTCAGCAATTTCCCTGAGGCTTCCACCAAAGGGATCAATGAAGTTCTATTCTATTCTATGAATGATGGGATCCTTGTTATCACATGATGTTAAAATCTAACATTTAATGAATATCGCTTCCAAATATTTGCAGTCTGTCGTCTTTTTAACCGATTACCATCCCTGGAAAATCCCATATTGGTTGATGTTTAATCCTGAGAACGTTCCAGGTGCTTTTCTTTTCTTCTTTTATTTGATTGTCTTGTTTCTTGTTTGCTTCGCAGTCTCGCATGGAGGACAAGGTGGAGCGATTCAAGAAAGCTGTGGAGTATTTCTCAGCTGCCTCCAAACCACGCTCGCCTAACATGGGGCCCTCCTCTTTCATCTGTGAGTAGTAAACGGCTCGGAAAAGCAAGTTCACGAAGCAGGACCTCCGTTACGTAATCGCTTTTGGCTCGCCGAATGTATTTTTTATTTACCGTGAGCAGAAACTTCTTCTGTTTTTTTTTTAATGAATTCTTTGCATTTTTTTTTGTCTCGCAGTACCTGGGTTCGGACCCACTCCATTTGGGGGACCACCTGGCCACATGGGACCGATGCAGCCTGGAAAGAATCAGGTAGATTCCTCTCTTGCTTGGTAATCCTTCCGTTTTCTTTAAAGTGTGTGTAACCGTACTCCTCTCTACATGAATGTACATGTAGCCGAGTGGATTAAGTGTTTTTTTTTTTTTTTGGTTTGAAATCCCTTTGTGGCATGTGCTCATTTAGGGGGGAAAAGGTGGCTGAGGGAGGAGGGTGGCGTCCTTCACATCCCACATCCTTCCACCAGCCTTGATTAGATGCCTCTAGTTGAACGTGTGATAAAATAGGACAGTTGAACCGACCTGTAATTAGACACAACCGACTTCCTTCATCTGTTAATCTTTAATTCTGTTGTTTTTCTTGCGTGACCGGAAGATAATTACAAAGAGAAGCTCCCTGGTTTCATTGTTCTTATTCAAGATTGATTTAAAAAATGAAAAGTTTCGAAAAGCGATGGACATTTCAGAATAAATGTTGGAGTTTTGCTGTTTAGTACGTTCTGTTGTAGTTGTACATCAGGTGTAATTTATAGAAGTACATTCTATTGTGAAACGCCAGCATATTTCACAAACCCTTATCAGGATCTTTTTGCATCTTTGAGCTTTTATTTTGAAAGCGTATCAATCAGCCAATCAGCTGTGAGTCTCTGGTTCATGCCGTGAGCAGAGCGGCAGACTGACAATCAGAGCCTCGAACAAACGGTCACAGCTCAAAAGCTAAAAGTCATATCGAGAAAATTCTTTCACCGTGTGACGCACAATCTAGCTTTGACCACGTTGATGTATTTTCATGACCGAACTGTGTTTTATACAGATGTGGTGGCAGGTTAAAGAGACTCACTATTTCTGATTCTCACATGAAATTTCGGAGCTCCGATATAATGGAAGTGAATGAGGGTTTTGGTCGTCACACTCTGAGATGATTTATGAAAAAAACATAAATCCTACAGCAGTCAGACTCACGCTGGGTGGAAGAGGATAAAAAGGCCAAATGTTTTATGTATAAACTGTTCATATAGAGGAGAAATTGTGAGACAACTGCACTTTCTTAAAAAAAAATTATTTGGTCAAAATTTAGACTCCAGCTGAAGAAAAATTCTGTATTTTTAAAAAAAAATCATTAAACTTAAACTGCAAGCGCGTACAAACTGTGAACGATATCAAAACATGGATTTAAACGAATAATATTTAACGCCTTGTGAGCCGTTTAAACCTTTGAATGGAGCTTCTGCTGTAAAATATTCCAGAGCTACAGGGTTCAGAAGGTGGCTGAGTTTTGGTCGCTGTGCAGCCGACTTCCTGTTCATCTGAATTAGGATTTTTGCTAATTTCGTAGAAAATGTTTGACGACTCGCCAACAAAAGTCACAAAGCACCATTCCTGATCGAGCCGCATGTTTTGATGTCTAATTTATATGGGTTTTGTGGAAGATGCGGAACGTGTTCAGTGCCGTAAATGACACACTCAGTGACAGACTTCATAAAAATAAAATTAGCACAGCATTAGTTCCCGCCTCCCTCCACCACCACCTCGCTTTCCGAAACTTTATTTTTCCTTCTCCAACCCGTTTTCTTTTCGTCTCCCCCTCCACGCTCCCCCCAGTTCCCTCCCCCCCAGGTTCCGGGGTTAAAGCCACCCTATCAAAATGCTCCATACGGACCTGGCTCCGCCCCTCTGTTCCAGACCCCGCAGCCGCCGTCCCAAGACTGCAACGACTCGCTGACGGCCAAGATGGGCTTCTCCGATTGGTCGGCTCCGTACGATTCCACTCAGGGGGGAAGCCGGCTACCCAATCATCACACCGGCACCCAGTCCGGTCCCTCCCCGTCTCCTTCCTCGTCATCGGACGGAGACGAACCCAACGACAGCAACGCAAAGTAAGACGACGCAAAGTCGCATTCACACAGTTTTTCAGAGAAAGGGGAGCCTGATGCAACACGCTGGTATCTTTTACAACAGCGACGCTCGAAAACAAGACGGAGAAAGCACTCGTTCAAGGTCGCTAATAATTGCCCAAAAAGAACACAGTTGAGTCTAATTCTGGAGACTTTTGTGCTTTTTTTACGATGCTGTAGCTTTAATTTCACAAGAGAAAGCTTGCAGGATTATAGGAGAGTAGTTTCAGGAATGCACTTCGTCACCTGAAATGGTCGTTTGGTCTCAGAGGGCCGAACTACGATTAAGTTTAACACGTTCGTTTAAAATAATCAGCTCGACAAAAACTAAAACCCCGGTCAGAGATGGCGGGTATCACGAAGCAGGTTATAGACTTTCTTTGTTAGTTCAGGTTTTCTTGTTGCGCCTACTTCATTCAACAGGTTGTTTTAATGGAGAACAATGAGGAATATAAACTTCACTGCGACTGCAAATAATGCAAGACAGGAATGCTGGTAGAAAACCGTTAATCGTGTGTTAATATATTTGTTTTACTGATTAATGCGGCTGCACATTAAAGCTATTCAACTTCATATATTTAAACATAAAACAGTGTCGGATGCTGTCCCATCATGCAGGACATCACTTTAATTTTAAAAGTGTAATTATTATTATTGATTGACTTCTCGCCAGACCAAACATACAAACGTACTCATGCGATTTCTGCATCACCTGTGTGTCGGTTTCCATGGCAACGCAACCCATACAGTGTGTGATACTGAAACTACACGGCTTCATTCAGTGGTTTTATTAACGTACAGATCAACATGTTTGCAGATAAAACATTCCCTGAGAGTCTGAATCGGTCATAAAGAACCTTCAGGAAATGATTTCGTTGAAGGAAGATGCTCGATTTAAAGCCGAAACTCTAAACAGAACCCGACCGGGTTAGCTCCGCAGCATCAGTTACCATGGCGATCTGGCAGGTTTAAAGAGAGACGCTGAAAACTCTGACTTTAACGCAGCCCTCAGGTTAATAAATAAACACCAAAGTCACGTAAATCTCATGGAGGCAGTAACGTTTCATTCCACTGTGAGCTGAATTAGAGCAGCTGCTCAGTGTTTGAGTCTCGTTTGCCTGATTAAGAGCACAATGACACATTTATCTCTAATCACTCAGACAACAGTAATGAAATCAGATCAGTAAACTATGGAACCCTGTGAACGAGCACCTTTTACGGATGACTCTCCCCTCGCAGCGCTGCAGGATCAACGTTCCCTCTCCATATGTTCTATTTTCATCAAACTGCCGCAGATAAAAATAGAAATCCGGCAAAAACAATTTACACAGAACATGCGAGCGATGGGAATTTAACGAGCGTCATTCTCTCGCGCCGCGGAATTTTTCCTAAATGATGAGATTGATTAGCTTTAAAATCGTGCGCCGCTGCAGCCTCGGAGGGAGCAGAGAATACATTTCCACCTCGACGTTATTACTTTTCTGCTCGCTGCCGTTTTTTTCCAGCGACGATATCGGTTCCTGTCTCACGGCAGGTTCCAAATATCGCAGCGTTTACGTGTTGATGAAGCTGTGAGGAATGTTTAAAGGAAACCTGCGTCAAAGATGGATGAACGCTCCGTGATAGAGGTCCTGAACAGGGGCTTTAACCTTGAGGCTGCCTCCCTTTTTGTCTTTTTGCTTTAAATACGTACAGCAGCTGCTCTTGGATTCAGTGTGGATTTATTTAGGACGTACTACTCTGTCTTTATATTGCATCTTCCTTTTATGTCCATCGCGGTCTGTTGTGCAAAAATGAACCATCAGCCGAAGCTGGTTCATATTTGTGCAAAACAACACTGCACTTGACATTCTATGTATAATAAAAATAATTATAATAATAATTGTATTTAAATAGCAACTGAAAACAAAGTTTACAAAAAATTACAACAAAAACAATTGGACAACAGAAGGCTGGTCAGTCCAAACAGAAGGAAAAATTAGTTAAAAGTAGTTAAATTTGGTAAAAGATTTTCAAAATAAATCCTTATAACAACAACAGATAAAATGCTAAAAGCACCAAAGCTGAAAATAGTAATAGAAATAGTAAGTAAATGTATAAATAAGTAAATAAAGGTTAAAGGTGTCCAATAAAGTGTTTGCATTATTTAATCCAACAACTCAAGGACACAGAGAGACGTGGACGTAAACTGCAGCTTAATCTTGAAGCTTAAAGTATTTTCTGATTAATTGATTCGTTGTTTGGTTTATTAAATGTCAGAAAATGCTGATCAGTGTTTCCCTAAAGCCCAAAATGACTTCCTTGACTGCCAAAACATTTCCATTTAACTTCACCGAAGAGGAAAGAAACCCAAAAATATGCAACGTGACAAAGCAGCAATCGCAGGATTTTGACTTCTTCACTACTAACTTCATACTTTATTCCCCTCAACCAGTGATCTCCAGCTCCGGTCCTCGTGAGCTACTGACCTGCAGGTTTTAGACGTTTCCGTACTGCAACACACCTGACTCACATGAATGGATCTCCAACAGCTTGTTGTCAAGTTCTACACAAGTCTGTTAATGATCCATTGATTTGAGTCAGGTCAGTACGGAAACATCTAAAAGCTGCAGGACAATAGCTCACGAGGACCGGAGTTTGAGATCTCTGCCCTAAAGACATCATGCGTAAATAAACAAAGGGTAGAGAGATAAAAACAAACAAATAAACTACCTAAAATCAATCAAACAGGCGTTTTATTGCGTGCTATATTATATGCTACTATGGATATTTAAAGAACTTGATAATGTCTTATTGAGAACAGTCACTTTCTGTACGAGCGCGTGACAAATTAAACCTCCTGAATCTTGATATTGGAGCGCTCGGCTTCGGCCGACGCCATCTTGGCAGCGCCCGACTCCTCCTAACTCCGGCTAATCCAAAAATGAGCGTGAACCAGGTGAAGCGTGAGGGGAGCTGAGGTGTGCCAAGCAGACGTCTCTAAAGCCACGTCTTCTGACTGCAGCCACGCCCTCAATTAAAACTGCGTTAAGGCTTCCACTTATGCAGGGTTATATAAAAATGCTCCCGTTGCTCGGTTGTCTTCAACAGGAGCTGTAGAGGCCAAACCTGATGCTCGCACCAGACTGGCTGCTAATGTGTATTTCTGGTGGAGGTTTGAAGAATCAATGTGCACTTTCTGACTTCCACGCTTGCTTCCTTGTCAAACAACAGATTGCTGATTGTGCATACCACGCCTGCACAAATGCGTTCAAGCAGCGAGTCCCCGGTTCAAATCCCGGCCAGCCGTTCGTCACTTTAACAGTCCGAGAAAGATGAAAATGGTCCGGAAAATGTTTCAGAAGTCACTTTAGCAGACAGCCGTGTTGCTTTATGTGTGAATCTAAACAAACTCTGCTATTTTTAATTAAGGCGTCAATATCATTCCATCAAACCTGTTGAGTCACTTTAATGAAAAGACAAACAAGTCTGAGCAGGCAGAGTGACATAACATAAGATATGCGTGTGCTGGTCACTGCCTCTGCATTCTTCGTAATAATATTTAATCTATTTCTGAAGCCTGTGCCCGTATTGTTGGCTAATGTAGGTGATGGTATCGATGTATTAAGATAGCTGGACATCAGATAAGTCATACAATGGTATAAATTCTGATAATGATAGAATATTTCCTCCATAAGAACTTTGGAAACTTGGATAATGTAGTGAAAGCAGGAAAGTTATCAGTCATGTAGCGATTGTTTTTTTTGGAACAAACCGAGTGGGTTCGACATGGCTGAATGCACCACATGCACCTGTTTCTGTCTCTAAAGTTGGAAAAGGAAACAGAAAATTTCTGCATTGAAGGAAACAGCTCATATCTGTAGAGCCGCTCTGCAGAATTGTCAAATCGAATCGTGAAGAAACAGACAACATGACGAATATATTCTATACATTAATAAGCCTCCAGGAAGTTTCTTCTGTGCTAACTAGCTTGCTGGAATAATGTCTGTTTATTGTGAAAGGCAAGCCTTTTTTAATAAATTCTGTCCGACTAGAAGAGCACCATTAACGACACACAGTACGTTTAACAATCAAAAAGCAAAAATCCAGCAGAAAACAGCCAAGAACTCGACCAACTTTTGTGGTAAAATCCCGACTTGAGGACAGATCTGCACAACAGACACGTTTACATAGAAAGAGCTGCTGTCAGGGTCGAGACACTTCATTTAAATTCAGTATTAAAATGTAAATTCTTGCGTTTTGTTTAGCGTACAGTCCAACACAGAACAAATCCGTGTTGTGCACTTGAACAAAGCTGAACGCTGCCTCCACGCAGACAGGAAATGCTGCTAACTAAGTTTATCACATGGAGCGTCTCCATCTAATTAAGCAGGCCGAGTACGAGAGAGAGAGATTAGTCTCAGAAGCAGATTTTAACTAATGAACCTAACTCGCCCTCGCTGTCAGCTGGAGGCTGCAAACATTTCACAGAGCAGGGTTCTGTACCGACAGGGCCCAAATTTCTGCTCCTTTTATTTTGCTTCAATAGATTTTGCAGCTCAGATGATTCTTTCCTCCTCGTTTTGTGGATTTGAAGCTGAACAGAAATAATTGCTTAAATGATACCATGATGTTCATCCATTCTGGCGGATGTGAGAAAAAAAATAAATTCCAGACTTGTGCCTCTAACACTAACCTTTTCCCACGATGCACTGCAGCCACAACATCTCTGCATCAGACACACTTGTTGACTGACCGGGTTTTTGTCAACAAGCTTATAGTGTAAATTAGCTGCAGCTTAGAGGTTCAGGGATTACAGCCACCGAGGAGGACGAAGCGACGCAGCAAATCATCCGCAGGGACGTGATTTTGGAGCTTTTGCGTCTAAAATCAACAGTGAGGACACCTCGGACCTGTTGAATTATTAATCATATAATAATATCTCCTGCTACATAAACAACAACACACACACACACACTGGTATGCTGGATCACTTTTTAGCCATTTTCAAAGCAGAAACCACAAAAAAGCTGCAGACTGGATGTTGTTTACTTCAGTCTGTGGCTCAGTGTCGTCCTTCTGATTTTATATAATGCTCTATGAACTGTTGTATCAATTCTATAAACTTATTATTACCATTATTATTATCGTTGTCATGTAATAGTCTGTAAAATACCAACACAGTTTTGCACCTTGTTTCTTCCACCAGCACAATTTGCACGTTATTTTTAAATGAAACGTGTGAGACACTGAACATGTTGAATTTCCCCAAGAGGACGAATAACGTCTAAAGTCTGTGTCTTTGTGGCACTTAGCTGCAAACACCAGCATTAACTGTCCTCTGTCAATGCCACTCTTGCTGACTTTTCCGCCGTCATTCCTTGATGAATAAATAACGAGGTGTGTTTTATCGTTGGTATGTTTTATTATACTGCAAACACATATTTTAATATGTAAATGTTCTCACTTTCATGAAGGAGAATCAATAAGAAACATAACAAACTGGCGGGACAGGCATGAATATGACGTCTCAACGTATACACAGAGGCTACAGGGAACATTTTCCAAGTTTTATTCCTTCATTTTCCCACAAAATTTTAATTGAATATAAAGGCGATGAGGCTAGAAAACAGATCACAGCAACTGATATTCAAGAAACAGACACAAAAAACAAAGCAAACAGGCAAATCTCCTGTGCTAGACCGCCGTCTGGTTGGATTTTCTTGGACCTTTGGCAGAAAACTTACTCCTGTTTTAACAGAAATGAACAAGAAATCCTTCTTACACTAAATGAAGCTACAGTATTTTTGCTATTAAAGCCAAACAAAGAGACTTCATCATACCGTCTGACCCTTTTTTTTCTCCACATTTTTGTAAAATTAGTTTACTCACTTGTGTTCTATCATGAGCGGGAGGTTCGCTCAGTTGATTGTGCGTGTTAAACTGCTAAAGTACATTTTTGTGTTCTCGTTTTTAAGATACAAACTTCCGTGGCTCCATTAAATTACAGTAAAAACACCTGGCGGACTTTAAAATGCCATAAAAAACTCAATATACATTAGAATAGGAGAAAGAAATATTCTAATGTGCATTCAAGTTCAATACAATCAGTCTTGATATCATTAAAAATACTATAAAAATACTAATATACACTGACGTCTTTAAAATAATTCTCATATACATCTAAATAAGATGATACACATGACAAAGGAGAAACTCTGACTCTTGTGTCCGTCTCCTCCCCTCAGCCATTTGACAGACAAGCCCTCTCGGTGGGAGGATCCTGCTGGACGAGGGGGCTCCGCCTCTGGAGACGGTTCCCAAGGCAACGGGAGCGGGTCAAACATTCCGTCACTGTTGTCTATGGCGACGCGGAGTCACATGGACATAACCACACCGCCTCTGCCTCAGGTGAGACGCCGAGTCCGAGAGACGCGGCACCGGAGCAATGTTTGTTAACCGGCTCGGGGAAAAAACTAAAACTCACGAAGGTGGTTTTCAAGTTTCTTTGGTGACGAGGGTTCCTGCATCATGTGACTCTTCTTCTGCACTGAATGAACCAATCGTGTGTCTGCTTTACTGTGAAAGTGCTGCTGCTGATAGGAAACTGTTACTCGCGTTCATGTTACTCATCGATGCAGCTGCACGTTAAAGCTGTTAAACCTCATATCCTTAAACGTGATATTGTATTAAAGTGCATTTGGGTCTGACACTGACCCATAAATGCAGGATTTAACTTTGTGAAGTTAATGTTACTGATGGATATATTTTTTATGATAAATACCAACAGACTCATTCATTTTGTAATCTGTTCTAACTGCTGGATTCTTTTTCCTTTTTTATTTAATACAGAATTAATTTTCCATTTTGGAGTCCAACCAGGAACATGTTGCTTGTTGACAACATTTCTTGCCTTTTGTTTTTCCTTTCTGCAGGATCGAACTTTAGCTTTGGGCCAAATCAACGTGAAATGAATGCTACTGATTGATAGTTTCTGTCATAAATACCATTACGTCTGTGTTTTATCAGCTGCAGAGTAGAACTTAACAGCACCAAAAATAAGACCGTGTTTATGTGAGTTCTGCATCACCAGCTGGATAAATGGAGATTCCTCACTAATCTCGCGTCCTAAGATGTGGGTAGTTCTGAAACTTTGGAGCCTTTGTCACCACGTTTCCTGTGTTGTTGTTTTTTTTTATTTTATTTTAGGTCAGTGCTGAGGTTCTTCGTGTAGCTGAACACAGACACAGAAGAGGACTGATGTACCCCCAGATTTACCACATATTGACCAAGGTAAACACAAGACACATTTGTTTATTGAGAAAATATGATTGAGCCGAGAAGAAAAGAATCACTGAGTCATGGAGTGAAACACGGAGTCTTGTAGAATCTGTATTTGTGTGTCAGGCTTGTTGACGGGTCAGGATTATTAATGAATATTTAGACCTCTGTAACAGCCACAACTTTATGTTTTTACATCATCCGTCTGTCTGTTAATCTCTCCTAAAATTTGGCACAATTGTTCTCGTGACGCGATAATAAACTGATCAGATTTTTTAAGTCAAAGGTCACAGCACCCATGTTTGGCCTTAAATAAAGAATTCATGCTAATTTTGACACGTTTAGCAGGATAAAATAATGAAGTTAAAACATTTTATATCTAAAAGACGAAAGTTCAGCTTCAATGTGATGTCGTATTGTTGAGCCAAATAAAACGTTTGTGTCCGTCGTTTATCACCATCAGTCAAGAACAGACGGAGAAATGGATATAAACTGGGGCTGCAACTGATGATTATTTACTCCCTTAATTGTTTTCTGATTAATTTTTAGTTGTTTTGTTTATAAAATGTCAGAAAATGATAAAAAGTTGATCATTGTTTCCCCCAAAGCCCCAAATTTCTTCCTCAGCTGTTCTTGGTTTCAGGATTTTCAGTTTCATTCCATTGACGAGGAAAGAAACCAGAAAATATTTCATATGAAGAAGCGAAAGTGAAATAACAAACAAATAATTTGATTATCAAAACAGCTGCTGGTTAATTTAACAGCGATTAACTGTGCGATTGTCGTCACAGTGCTGATGCAAACCGGTTGGTGGAGTCTTACAACCGCGAGATGGTGAACATAGTTTTCTGGAGTCGTGAATTTATTTAATTGTCGGCAGCAAAACACGTCGTTACACAAACCTTTAGAGACTCCTGCAGGTTAAACCGGACGAACCAAACACGTACAGGGACTCTGTGGAAACGGACTCGCTAGCTTAGCAATGGCTACAAACTAAATGTAATTGTGCCGTCTCCATTCAAAAACACCATCTGATTGTATGAACACGAAATTGTCTTGTTCTGAAATATAACACACACGATTGCTCACATTTGGGTTAATGTCGTGTATATGTTGGCATTTGTCTTTGGCTGCATGTCTCATATCATTTAGTTAAACTTAGCGAATAAAACAAGCAGGAAGTTCAGAATATATGAGCCTCTCCAGAGCCGTCCTTCCTGTTCCCGCCGTCCTCACCTTTCCTTTATCGGCCCCCAGGGAGAGATGAAGATGCCAGTGTGTATAGAGGACGAGTGTAACTCTGAGCTGCCTCCTGCCTCTCTGCTGTTCCGAGCAGCCCGACAGTATGCCTACGGCGTCCTCTTCAGTCTGGCCGAAACACACCGCCGCCTGGAGAGGCTCGCCCTCCGCAAGAGGGCTCCCCTGGAAGGTCGGTGGTGCTGGGGCTGAGGGGGTAGACGGATGGATGGACGGATGGATGGATGGGGAGTGTTTGATACAGCAGCAAACGTTTAACCCTGCAAAGCCTGAAGTGTTTATTGAGCCTAAAATTTGCATATTTACGTTTTAATTTGTGTAATTTTTTTGCTACATTTGGCTTTTTTGGTGAATTACTGATCCATGAACTGCTGGTGTCTGTATACATCAGAGGATTTTTTAGGGGAAAAAAATATCACACTGATGATGTAGAGGTCTGAAAAACTCACGTATCATATATGACACACTTGGCTTTGCAGGGTTAATAAATATCTAGATACACAGAATAGATTTTTATTGTCAATTTCTCTGTATATCCAGGACATACCGAGGGACTGAAGACATTTCTCTGTCACCTTCTATTAGCGGCGTATGTTTTTATGTTTGTTTTTTTTTAAAAAGGGATAAAAATACAGTATAAATGAAATAAATATATACAAATCTACCTGTGTACACTGGTGGTAGTGTAATATAGTGATGATATCTGTAGATAAATTTAAAAATAAACCAAAAATATACACTATTCTTCCCAGAGAATGCGCACAAAAAAAATCCTCTCTATGTGGAAAATACACAAAATAATGATGCAGCACACATTCTTCCATAAGCAGAAATGCTAATTTGTATTGTTGTCGGGGAGATGGAGGTTCTATGAAGAGTGTCCGCTGAAACCTCCAGCATCGGTTCAGTTTATTGTTCTACAGTATATCAGAAGCTGGTTTAATTCATAGCTTCAGCTGTGCTCTTATTGTTTTCTGTCAGTGTTGGCAGTGACGGTTGCTAATAAGTAGAAAGACGAGGATAGTTTAGCTTTGTAGCTAACACACACACACACACACACACAGAACTACACGAGCTGCTGCATTGATGTCCTTCTACCTCAAGTTTGTCTGACCTGAGCTTTTATTTATGTATTTGTTGGTGTTTTTCTTTTTATTGCACTGAACTCATCTGTTACCGCCAGAAGAAGCTCCCTGAACAAACACGAGCATCTCGACTGGAGGGTGTAGCTGCTGGATTCCTTTTCCTCCTGAACAGTTCATTTTCCATTTCCAGCCGCCCCACCAGTCAACCCTTCCTAGTTGACCTTATTTCTTGCCTTTGTGTTCGTTCTCTGTTCTCGTCGCTTTAAGGAAGTGGATTGTAGTGGTTTTATATCTGCTGACTTTTTAGAAAGTTGGTGGTATTTTTCAGAAGTTTGCAGCTTTAATCTGCTCAAAGGAGGATTCAGAATTCTGTGACTGAAAAACCCAAATGTATCGGAGCTGTTCCTGTCGGTTTTAGCCGCAGTTGTGCTCTTCATGAAAGGATTTCAGGATATCAGGCTGTGAGAAAGGTCTGTTCTCTAAAAGTTCAGAGCACTGACAGAACGTCTCATGACTGGAAACCCACAACCGTCGACGGCTAGTATTTGCTATAGCAGCGTTTTGGAACAGCCTTCCTCTTTTAATCAAGCGTTTCAGATTTAACAAGATAATATGATAAAGTAAAACCGTATTAGTCCTGAAGACAATTCTTGTGCCAGATATTGATCAGAATAAAACCAAAAGGGCAGAACACAAGAAATGCAGTGACTGAAAAGTAGAAAAGGAATCAGCTATAGGACGATTTATTACTGAAGTACAATAAGTAACTAAAATAAGACGAGAAGAGAGAAGTTTTTGAAAAATACCGTAATTTCCAGACTATTAAGGCACCTGAATATAAGCCACACCCACTAACTTTAAAAAGGAAACAAGTTTTGTACAAATACAGGCCGCACTTGTCTATAAGCGGCAGGTGTCCACGTTGGAACATGAGATATTTATGCAGAAAGATTTTTTAAAACTATTAATTAAATACGTACCGGTAACATACACAAATACGTAAATGCTTCTTTCCAAACAGCACCTGTAACACAGCTGGTTAAGAAAATAAAACATACAGCAGCCTACCAGGAAAAGTCATTGATCGCTATCTTCATCTTCCTCCTGCACTAAAACCACTAAAGTCGTCTTCTTCAGCCTCAGAATTCCTTCGTCACTTCCTCAGTCTCTCTTTCGTTGTCGCTCTCAACGTCACTTTGATCTCGAGGCAAATTCGTAAAACTCGTAAAAATCCATAAATTAGCCGCATCATTGTTTAAGCCACAGTGTTCAAAGCGTGTAAAAAAAAGTAACAGCTTATAATCCGGACATTACGGTAATGCTGGTAATTATGCGGAAATATCACATCTGATAATGAAATCTGATAACTGTTGAGAAAAGTATTATTGCAATTGTTGTGGACATCACTGTTCAGATCTAAGTGTGCAGCGTCGTATGTTTGTGATGCTTTCAGGAGGAAACTTTAACATTTAAAACAAATACAACAACTTGTGGTTTTATTCCAGAGTCTACAAATTATAGAACTGAAGTGCTACAGCCAAGAAATGAAAATATAAAATGTCACACATTACATTGACAGTTTAATTTATTTTTCATTTTATTTTGTTTTAAATGAGATTTTACTAGTTTTATCCTCCCGTGACGTTTTGCACACAATAGACAGGACAGTTTGTGCAGCGCTTTGGTCAGTTGAGTGTTTAAACGTGCTACAAGCTGCACTTTGATTTAGAGGAACCACAATCCTCCAGAGTCCTGGTTCTGAAACATCTCTACCATTCTGTGTCCCAGTTCCTCCAGTGATCGTGAAAGAGTGGAGCAGCGGTAAGGCCAAGTCAGCCCTGACACCGGAGCTGGTTCCGGCCCTGTGTTTCCGCGAGTGGACCTGCCCCAACCTGCGGCGCCTGTGGTTGGGTCGTGCCAGCGAGGACCGCTCCAGGAGAACCAGGGCCTTCCTGGCCTGCCTACGCTCCGACTGCCCAGCCCTCCTCAACCCAGCACAGGTCCCACAGCATCTGCTGCTCATGTGCTGCGTGCTCAGGTAGTGTCCTGGTGCTGTTCAATCGCACGATGATGAAATCTGCACCCGTCGTTCAGTCTGTGTTTGTGAGATTCTGGCTGTTTGAACATTCGTGGTCACGTCTGGCGGATGTGCACGGCGCTCGTGAAAGTTACGCAACAGCACGAGTGCATTCTTGGTTTCATCCAAACGGGCGTAGCGTTTCCTCCACACCAGAATGTCCCTGGGTTCACTATAAAAGCTGAACATTTTGTGGAAAAAGCACAGATATTTAGATTGATCGTGATCGATGCCACTCTCACGGTGGATGTAAAACCACAGGCAGCAGCCGCTTAGCTCTGAAGCTAACAAGCGCCTCTAAATGCTCGGCAGACTCTATTAGAAGGGCTTGTTGGACGATCAGATAAGTGGAGAAACTCCCTCCTCTCACGTTTCAGTACTCTGCTCACCACTCTGACATAAAGCTGAACTGTATCCAGCAGCTGCTCGGCATTGAACCGCTCCTCTCCGTTCTCCAGAAAGCTTCTGTGTTGTGTCGAAATACTTTTTCTTTCCAAGCAGGAGCAGCAGTTTTAGCTGACGGCTGTGTGTCATGTTTGAGCTAATAGTTGCTTTCAGGGTCATTTTTATCGTCCAACTCGGAGAGATTTTGTGCAGCTTAGATTTTACATATCAACAGAATATAAAGAGACAAAAAAATAACAAATTAATGCAGGAAAGTCGTACCAAGATGCAAATGTGCCGACATGAGGAAAGAAAAGATGCAGCCAGAGGTTTTTGCTTTCAGACGACATGAGGACAAAACCTTAAACTTTTTATTTCTGTTGATCCTCACAGTCCAATACAGCATGACGGTTTTATTGATTTACTGATTGAGACACTCCTCTTTGTGCTTCCCTGCCACGATCAGGTGCAATAAATCTGTAAAGATAACACTCCACCTTACATACTTACATGAGATTAGCTTTTAAATGTGTCCCAGATTAACCGTATTAAATTAAGAACAGATTGAAGAGTTCTTTTTAACCGTTTTTAAACTCCAGATTGATGTGATTGTTCAGAGTCGGTTGTGTTTGTTAGACAAAGCGAGCTGCAGATTTTACAATATATCAAAATCAACATGTGACAGTCGGCGTCGATGTTTCGCCGACCTGCCGCAAATAAATCAATAGACGGAAACACAAATCCAGCCTCTCTTTCAAATAATATCGAACAAGCTCACAAATATTTTGACAATCGCTGCTTGAAGATCGTATCAGCGAACCGCAGGAAGCAGCTCGGCGTCATCGATTCCACCTGCCACACGAACCCACACGTGTTCTCACTTATTATTTAATCAGGCCTTTTACAAGAGCTGTGCGGCGCCACGCTGACTCTAATTATTCCTCATTTAAGTCGAATCAATCAGACTGAAAAAAAACCTGTTAACGTCAGGCGAAGAGTTTTAATTTGTAGCTGTAGATTTTTTTTTTTTTAACTGTCCACTAAACCGTCACTAAAACAGTGATTCAGCCAATTTAAATGGTTTTAAATTACAGTTTAAACCAGTTGAAGGCAGGTTGGAACAACACAGAACGCTTTGTCATCCGTAAAGCAGAAAATACAAACTAATGTCAGCCGGCCTGTTTCCCACAGAGAGGACAAACACAGGTGTCGCTAATGACATTACGGCCGGTTTTATCTGAGCGTCCCTTTAAGACACGAGTGTTCCAGCGAGGCAGCGCTCACAACACCAGCCAGCTAATTGGATTTCATTCATTTTATTATTTATAATGTTCCTGCTGCGACGTGTCAAGATGTCGTCTGTTAAAAAAAAAAAAAAGAGAGAGAGAGAGAAAGGCCTCTTCGTGGACTGACGGCGAATGATGATACGAGATGCTCCATTAATACGAATGACGACGCCGTGATTCATTCCTCTGCTGCACTGATTCTGCTCATTGTTTCGAGTGACAAATTAAATATCGTGCAGCATCAACTGTAATAATATTTACTGTTGTATTAAAGCCACGTCGCACGTTTCATCAGCCTCTGTGCAGGGATGAAACTTAAGAGACTGTAAAAGTAAAGAAAAAAGTCTCTTAAAGCTTCATCAGGTGTTCTGTAGACAGACTTAGGTGTTGATGCAAAACCCTAACTAGAGAGTAAAGGCTTTAAGATACCTGCTAAAATCAACATAAAGCAATTAATTGTCATGTTTCTTTTGGTAGCAGTTAAAACAACAGTTTTGTTTTTACAGCTCTTGCACTCAAAATCATCAGACCTGTGCACAATAAACAGAAGTTTGTAGATTTTTGCAGTTTTTTTACAGTAAAATATCGTCCATAGATGAATCACGATGCCTTCAAATTATGGGAAGAGAGTTCACGAGCTGTAACGTGTTTTTAGAAAATCCCGAAGTCGTGGAAGTTTGTTTTCCAGAGTGTGAAGTTAGTAAATTGCAGTTTTAGTCATTTAGAGCTTTTCTACCTAATTTTACGTCTGAATGAAACGTTGATAATACCGTCGGCCTCAACTTCTTTTCTTACTTTTTTTTTACTATTTGCTGTCTTGCTGAATGCTTCTCCTGGACGTTTCTACACGCAGACCGTGAACTCTATTTTGCCGTTGTTCTCACGACTTCTAGCCGATGTCACCGTTTAACCCTCACATACTGTTTCGGGTCAAATTGACCTGTTCTAACATTTGACAGCAGTAAAAACATCCTGAACGTCTTTTAGCCTGAAATTTGCAAAGTATACAAAAATGAAAATATTTTAAAATGTTATACTTTTGTCCACTGAGGCTGTTTGGGGTCAGATTTGACCCGTATGTCCATTGAGATGGATCTTAGATGCACCAGTGTGGGTCAAATCAAGGAAGATTTTAGGGAATCTTGTAACTATGAAACTGTTTTATTTATGTTTCTTAATGTGACATCGGCTATTTAGATGTTCTCAATTGCGCTGTAGCTTTAAAATGTGGTACAGACTTTTACTATGAGAGAATTCTTGACAGGAATTCTTCACTGTGTCGTCAAAATTGATCTGAAACATCCTGTGAAGGCGTAAAATATGAACACAGTGTGTGGAAAGTATTTCATTTTAAATTGTTCCATTTGAAGGCAGCAGTATTGTAAAATTTGTACTTTTAAAACTTCAGTGTTTTTTTAGAATTCCTGTTGTTATTTCAGAAAATAGAAGATAAACTGCTTCATCAATGCAAACCTTTACATTTGCAGTACATGTAATATCCATGAAGTCCTCTCTCTTCTTTTTGGACATTTGTTGTGAAAGTGACACCGTACGTCAAAAAAAAGAACAACGGACCACATCTGGCTTAGTATGAAGTCATGGATCCATTTATTAGATCTCAGTTTCTGGGACTCAGAGGGATGTTTTCTGTTTCTCTGTTTGTCACGTTACTGCTTAAACACTTTTCACTGCTAAACCTACAGACTGTGTGGATTATGATTTAATTTACTGTAGTGTCTTTATCTCTGTCGTTGGTGGCTGTGACTCTGTGCTGCTGCTCCATGAAGTGAGCTTCTTCTTTGCCTCTCAGGTATATGATGCAGTGGCCTGGAGGAAGGATCCTCCAGAGACACGAGCTCGATGCCTTCCTGGCCCAGGCTGTTTCCAGTCAGCTCTACGAACCCGACCAGCTACAGGAGCTCAAGGTGAGAGGCCCGTGTTCTCTCGTCGTTTGGTTCTGCACACATTTCTCTTGTTACCGCCAGTTTTCCTCGTTTCGTGCACTTGATTGATTCTCTCTGTGCAGATCGACTAAACTGACTCTAAATCGAACCCCTTTTTCAGGCGACTTCATTTAGATCCGAGCTGCGATTTAGTACAAAAGCAAACTGAGCGTCTACGGCTTTTCACGGTTGTGTGATTTTATTTTTTGTTTTGTTTTTTTTTTGTTGCATGATTTCAAACTGAATATTAAATCCACCCTCCGACTGCGAACCGGCGAGGAAGCGATCGTAATAATAAATGATTTATGTGTTCCTGCAAGTCATCCGGTAACCATGGCAACACGTTTTCGCTTGTCAGGGACCGCTATGTTGTGTAGCGTCATTCATTCGCGGCTCGAGTTTGTCAACACATTCTGTGTGTTTCAAAACTGAACACGGAGCGCAGAAGTTGTTTTAAAGGGACCGTTTTCCCTCAGCGTGTCACGGAGCTGCTTTCTGCAAACTTCTGAAGGCCCAAAATCCACACAAGAGGAACAGAAAACAGCTTCTTACCCGCCTGAAACACCTTCTTACGTTTAAACGTCAGCATATAATACATCTGCATAGCTTCTGTTTAGCAGCTAGTTTGGAATCAAATAAAGAATGAGCTCGCAGATCGACACCTTTGACTGATTTGAGTGTTTCAGACCGAGAAGAAAAGCTGCAGGAATGTGCAAAATGAGAAAGATTAGTTTGTTTTTTTATATTAAAGCACGTTTGGCACATGTTAGTCCACTCTAAAAATAATAATATAAACCTCTAAATGTGCATAATATAGAGTATTTAAGTTGCCACAGCTTCACATTGAAGTAATTGTTGAATTTAGGGCTCAAGATCGACTTCTGTCACGTCTACATTTAATCAAATAAAGGAGCCGTGCCTTTAAATTACACTCAGAAGTAGAAGAGAGCTGTGAAAACCGACCTGCTGCAGGTGGATTTACAGTAACCGGCTCCACTTAGTAACCTGATTACCTGAGTGCATGAAGTGGATCAGGGTTTTTCCGCTAATGTTTCTGCACACAAATCTCTTTTTTTTTGTGCTCAACAATACTCAATTTCGAAGCTCCGTGCAGCCGATGGATGTGCCGATCTTACTAGAAGTCGTTTGAGAGTGCTCGTTGGTGTTAGAAGCAACAGGAAGTGTCTCCATTGTGTGTGATGTTTGCGCCCACGTGCCGTGTGCTGAGGAGCTCTTCTTCTGTCTCCTCTGCTGCTCGTCTCTGAATAAATGATTAAATAAAGCTAATACGTGCTGCCTTTTTCTTTTTTTTGTGTGTGTGTGTGCGCCGGCTGTCAGGTGGAGAAGGTGGATGCCCGCGGCGTGCAGCTGGCCGCCCTCTTCATGGCCGGCGTCGACACGGCGCTCTTCATCAACGACGTCTGCGGCCAGCCGTTGCCGTGGGAACACTGCTGCCCCTGGGGCTTCTTCGACGGCAAACTGTTCCAGAGCAAACTGGCCCGGGCTGCCCGAGACCGAGCCGCCCTGCTGGACATGTGTGAGGGGCAGGTACGAAGGCGGCGACGCTGGGAGGACGTGGCGGCGCTGGGTGTCATGAATGTTTGGGTTTGAGCTCCAAAAAAAATACCTCGAGTCAGTTAGTAAACGTTACTGTATAGAAACAGATGAGGGGAGGAGCTGCTTTATACTAATCCTCGTTTTTTTTACCCTTTGTAGACATGAAACTCAACATTATTGACCAAACCCGTCTGTTAGAATGATGACTGTTTGCATTTTAGGTGTCTGTTATGCTACCGGTTAACCGTCAGCCTTTTTAACCAATACTCAATAACATCATACAAAATTGGGAGACGTTTCTACATGTCCTCATAAATGTGCATTTCTCATTTAGACAGCATGTCACTGATATATTCTTCTAGTTTTTCCTTAATACGAGAGCTCTCCAGCCAGTAGTCATGAAGCGTCACAGGACACTTCCTCATGGTTGCACTTTACGAGCTAAACTCCCGCAACCAGCTGCTACAGCTAACATACAACACACTTCCTGACATGCACGTCCTCCTGCCTTATCGGTTGATGTGTTTTTAATCGGTTAAATTATTAACAGCAATACATTGATTAAGTGTTAATCATTAGTAACCCTAGATGTGCTCTTCTGCCCTGATATGACTGAACAGATAAACACAAAAAGCAACAAATGTACCGTTGATCTGGTGTTTTTCCACATTTCAGCACCAGTATTCTTCCAAAACCATCACAGATAAAAAATATAACTCCATTGTCATGAAGATATCACATTAATTGATTGTATCTGAATTTGTTTGAGGTGTTTTGGGAAAAACTTTATGCACATTTCATCATTTAAATGTGCATAAATATCCGTATTAGTCCAGAAACTTTACTCTGGGAGCAAAAGGCACCGATGGATGCACCTTCCTCATCTGCTTTGCCCAAAATCTCACATCGTAGAAACAGAAATCTTCATAAAAATAACAATTTATCGTGATGACGACGGACTTAAGTGGGTCGAATTATTGAGATTCAACAATTCTGATTATAATCTGGGTTTTCACAGCCGCTGAATTTTAGCTCATTGCTTCCAGCTGTTTGTTTATTTCCTCTGAGTTTATTAAATACCTGCAGGATCAGGATGCAGGTGGCCACAGCTCAGCACATTTATACTTGAGCGAAGGGTTTTTACTTGTCATAAATTAATATAAATGGCCGTGACACAGAGACAGGATTGAACTGAGTGAGAGAAAATAGTTCTTGTATGAATTAATGTGTAATATGTTCAACTATTTATTTTTATAGTTCATGTTTTATCATGTTGGTATAATGGATTATTAATGTGTCTCTGGAGGTCAGCAGGCAGCTTTTCTCATCTTTTATGTCTCTCATTCAGGCAAGAGATCAAAGTTTTATTACTATAATTGTCGTCGCGGTTAATTTTAAGGGCTGCGTGTGTGAAAGGTGCTTTTAAAACCCCGGTGTTGTCGACTTTAAGCATTTAAGAGCCTTGATTTGAGGACGCTCGTGTGGATGTTAGCTGAGAAAAGAGCCGACGTTGACCCGCTGTCGGTGTGATTCGTTTTGCAGGAGGAGCTGGTGTCCAAGGTGGAGAAGATGCGTCAGGCCATCCTGGAGGGCATCAACCTGTCCCGCCCTCCTCCTCCCCCTCCTCCTCTGCCACCTCCTGCCTTCCTGCCCCCCGCCATGGTGCCCCCTTTCTACCCCATGCCTCCCCTGTACCCGCCTCGTCCGATGGGCGGCATGCCTCCTCATCACCACCCGCATCATCCACATCACCCAGCGCAGCACAGACCCAGAGCCTTCCCAGGTAGGGACGCTCTCAGTTTAGCGGTTTTTATCTTTAAAGCACATTTACACGTTTAGTTTCTCTCTCTGTGCTGATATCCGACCACAAACTGATGCTAGGGAGATTTTAAATGTGTTTGTTGTGGCCAGGCGATAGAGTAGAACCTCAAAAAGTGCAATTCTATCTCTACTGTTGTTTTCACACAGGGCATTTTTGCTCTTTTTGTATCGTATTTAATCTTTATTCTATTAATTATTTTATTGTAATGACTCTGCTCTTTGTTCATTATGCTGCTATTTCAAAGAGCTGCTTTTAAGTGTTGTTAACAGTGACAATAAAGATCTATTTTATTCTAATCTATTATAAAATATTAATGTAAATTATTCGAAGGAAGCAGATTTTTGACTGTTCTGTTGTAAAATACTGTCCCACAGAGGAACAGGAAGAGCTCCTGACAGCTGAAAAAACTAATCGTAGATGCTGATTAAAGCGCTGCAGAAGCAAATATTTGTATTTTTACTATTTGTAACTTGTAGAAAAAACTTCTTGCTGTTGGCACAATATAAAAGAATCACACATTATTATACAAACATAAAGATGAGAATAAAATATATGCAGGAACAGAAATAAACAGATGAAACAAAACAAAACAAAAATGACTATAATTAGTCCCATATTTAGTTTAATGAAAAATTGAAAAGGTTTAAGCTTTATTTTGAAAGAAAATAAGAGTTTCAAGATTCACATGTCAAGCTGTACTGAGTAAAAGGAAACCTTGGTCGTGTGACTAGTTTTCAACCAATCGATTGATAATTAAGGGAAAAAAATCTGTGTTTTCTACAGATTAACGTAATTAGCCACAGTGCAATGAGCGCTCTCTACCTGCTAGCTTTATTAAACTACTTGAATTATAAAAGCCAGTATTTTCAGGATATTAAATCATTTGAATTTGGTTATTTTTTCACTGAAACCATAGGAACAGCCTGGAAGCAGAGCAGCTGCACACATTCATATGGTTTCTGAAAACATATCCGCTGATGATCCAGCACAAGAACTACTGAGGAATGAAACACGGACGAGTTAGCTGCTGCTTTAGATGATCCGACATGTTGGTTGTTGAACTGTCACACACAAACTTTGCAAAGTTTATACTCGACTTTTTGCCAAAATGCAGCCACTTCTTATTTCAGGCAGTTTGGAGCCGACTCAGAGTAAATACTCAGTAGATACTAAATGAGTCAGACGTAGCGTCTGCGTTCGGCTGGGCGAGTTCAAGGTTGTGAAAATGTGGGGGTGTTCTGTTCCTCCTGCTGCCAAAAATAATGGATTAGCCTTGAAAGAGTGCTTGTAGTACTTTTCTATTTATGAAAGTACCACCAACTAATGTCTGACCAGTGAAAATGTGATCAAGTCAGAGTGTGTAGTCCAACCAGATTTGTTTGACACTAACTATGAAAGCAGTTCTATACAGATGAATATAAAGCACAGGTTGTTTACAGTTACGTAGCATGGACACATCTGCAGTTTGTTCCAGTAGACTGACTGTAAATTCTCCGTTTCTCAGGCATCCAGTCCATCCCGCCTCAGGGAGGGAAGCTGGAGATCGCTGGCATGGTGGTCGGCCAGTGGGCTGGGAACAAACCAGTCCGTGGGAGAGGAGGCTTCAACATGCAGGTGGTGTCAGTGGGAGCAGGGAAAGGGTGAGTAGCACGAATATCTGCCGTCTTACTGCTATAACATCTTTAAGCTGAAATGAAGTTTAGATATACAAGTGCAATCTGTTGTCCCCCAGTATTCTCTGTGTAGTTATAAACGTACAGGAATCAGCTCTCCGAGATTCATAGTCTTTAGCCAAAGTTGCTGCATTAATACCTCTGTCTTCAGTGCAGTTATTGGCAGTATCAGAATATAAATACGATAACAACCTCACAACAAAGGCACCACGTAATAATTACACATCAAGTTCAGTTTACTCATCATGAAGAGTCTTATTCAGCCTGAAAAATCAGTTAATATGATGTTGTCTGATCCTGTCGGGATTTCTAAAGTTTGAAAAATGAACTTAAAATGTTTGACAGCAAGTCTGTTTTACAAACCAAGCAGGAGTGACATTTAAAAGATATTCAGCCATTATGGAACGTCCTAAGAGAGCTGCATTATGGGAAATGTAGGACCTGGTGTTGTCCCTCACAGCCAGATGTGTCTCCACTGCTGCACCTTATAATCAGTCTGGTGAAGGGGAAGAAACACGCTGGTTTGTTTGTTTATCTTTAAGCCAATCACGATCCTCGCTAAGCCCGGGATGCAGTGATGGTGCCCCAGTCATTAAAATGATGAGGGAACTTGTTTTTGCACAACATTTCAACACAGAGAAACAAGCACTGACAATAAAATGGATTAAAAAAAGATTCCTTTTTGCACTAAATCTTCATTTAAACGTGACGTGTGCAGGTTTGCTGCTCTGAGATTGTTTAATTGTCAGACATTTTGGAGCTTAATTAATGATAAGGAATAAGGAATGTCTGGACTTTACAGTTATTTTTTTCAATAAGTAGTTAAAAAAATAAGAATTTCATGGAAGTAGTTCAGCTCTGACACTGAAATATGATGTCTTTCGCTCTTTGCATTGCATTTATTCAAAGATGGAGGCTTGAAATTTACTTTTTGCTGTCAGCAGTTCTGACTTTGGCACATTTTAGTAAAAGATAAGATAAACTTTATTGATCCCTCTCAGAGGAAATTCAGCAGCTGGATACAGACACAGCATGACAGAAGAAGAATTAGCAAAGCACAATAAGGCTAAAGAATAGAGATATAATAATAATAAAGGTCACATAGAGACAATATACCAGGCGTAATGAATCCACATATGGATAAATGCAGTACAGACAAAAAACCGTCCAGTGTTGAATCTTGTTCCTTGTCCAAAAGTTAAATTCACTGATTGGATTTATCATAAATGAGTATTTTAACCACCTGCACCTCGAATCACAGCAGGAAAGGTCAGATTTCCAGCTTTGTGGCGAACCAGTTAATCCGGAAACTTAATCAAATCTAAGCTTCATTCTACATGTTTCACATAATTTAAATAGAGTGGCCTTTTCTCTCAGTATTTCTGTTCATAAAAGAATCCGTACAACACTGTTATTTATTTTTATTTAATACTTCTACATTTAGTTCCTGTGCATATTTAGGTTTTGTTTTAGTTAATGTTTGCGCTAGCTCCTTAGCTGATGCTGTAACACTGAGGGATTATAAAATTTTTAAAATGTCTTCTCATGTTTCCCGTCACAGGAGGGGTAAAGAGATTCCAGCGAAAGTCCGGGGAGGGAAAAAGGCACCTGCCAACAGAACACAGGTATGAGCAGCGGGCCAAACTCTTGCACACATATCTGCACATCACATCCGTAAACCGTCCCGCTCCTGTTGTCCTGTCTTGACTCTGCCCGTCCTCCCCCAGATGTCGTCATCCCCCCCGTCATCCAGCAGTCCCCCAAAGCCCTCAGAGGAGGCGAGCCCCACGCCAGAAGTTGCGACCCAGCAGCTGAACGGCAGCTCGGCAGCCTCCGCCATCGGTCAGCCCTTGGAGCTGGCCCCCATGGCCCAGCCAATCCCGTGTGCCTTAGCCAGCAGAGACAACCAATCAGAGGGGGTGGAAGTGGAGGCCCCCTGTTGCCTTGACGACTGCCCGTCAGACGGAGCGCTACAGAAGGAGGAGTAGCGGCGTCCTTTCCTGGGATGCGCTGCTCTAAGAGAGTTATCTGTGTTCGACTGCCTTTCCCTGTTTTTGTAGCCCCGTCTGCTGGCTGAGCACCGATCACACGGAGCAGCGCGGCGCCTCCTCGTCCCCCCGCTGCTCCATGTGATCCGCCAGCCAGCTGTTACTCCCTTTTTAGTTTTCTCATGTGGTTTTACATTGTTTTATGAAGAGAGGGTTTCTCCATGTAAGCGCCCCACCCCTCAAAAAAAAAAAAAAGTCCTCAAAGCCTCCCTCCCGCACTCAAAGCAAGATAAGCTTGAAGCCCCGCCCCCCCATCACGACCCACCTCGTAATCAAGCCCCGCCCCCTCTTTAGCAGGGGTGTCTGTACAGTTTGAATTTCTTATTTTGTTGTTTTTAAATGGTCCCATTGTTTGAATCTCTGCACACAGATGTTAAGCTTGTGGTTACGGTGACAGATTGGATGTGGTTTCCGTGGTTACAGCAGCTAGGCCTGGTCGCCGTGGTCGGTAGTTGTGTGTTGATGTGGTTTGTTGTTGCCATAGCCATCTCGTGAGAGTTTTGTCTTACATGAGTTGAGAGGTGTTCAGAGTGCGACTCTGGATTTGTGGGAACGTTTCATCCTTCTGTGCAGCGACCCACGGACCGGCAGCACCGCTAAGCACAGCGTTAGCATACGTGCTAGCAGCAAACCCCTTTAGAGATTGATCGGTTATCTATCACTGGAGCACCTCTGCACCACCATGGTATTAGTGTGCTATCTTACTTTGACCTATGTAGCATAGCCTAGCGCTGAGCTGTGCTAAGAGACCCCCATGAATTTATGCACCTTAAGCCCTAAAGTATGCAAGATTTTACCCCGCTCCTCCAAAAAAAGTGCATTATTATTATATTATTGTCCCATCCCCCCTTGTCCCTTTCTCCCAAAGCTTTGATTGTATTGTCCCCAAACAGAAGCACTTAATGTTGTATTTAAATATAATGAATTTGAACAAGCCCCTATACAGTTGAATTGACAGTCTGTGAGGGGTGTCCCCTGCGCCTGAGTAAATCAGTACGACATGTAGAACTACATTTAAAGGTAGAGATCTATTTGAGAGACGTCAGAATGTGAACAGAGTGGTTTCAGACAAAGAAGCACTTTGTTTTAAAAAAATGTTAAACCACACTGGACAGTCCTCTACCAGGTGATAAAGAAACGAGAAACTCTGAGGCACCTTCTTGAGTTAAGGCCAAAAAGTAAAGAACGATGCTGCCCAGTGAGAGATGGAAATGAACGGTGAGGGTTTGGGCGACTGCTGCCAGGCACAGTTCCCCTCAGACTGGCCTCACGTTCTGCCAAGAACTTTGCAATGAAGCTAGAAGGAGCCTTGATTGTCCACGTCAAGGACTCCTGGGAATCATTTCAGATTTCTAAAAAAGTTATTTCCAAAGTGTATTTTTATACGGCTCGCCGCCTGAGGCAGCCAGCGATGTTAAAGGGGTGTGGCAGCGAAGCCTCAAAGATCCCTCCGCCCTCAGGTGGCGATTGAGCGACTGTTGTCATAACGATAGCCCAACGCCGGGAGCTGTTGCCCCGCAGAGCTCCGGTGTGTCACTTTAGACCAGCAGGAAGCACTTCCCTGCCCTGAAGCCGCGCCGCCCGACGCGGCGGCGACTTCACGGGCCGGATCACGCCACACGACAGGGGAGAGGGAGGCCTCTGCGGACCCGAGTGTGCCGCTCATAATCTGAGACTTCTAAGATACTGAGATGTTTTATTAGAGCACTTATGTTTTTAAAGAATGAAATGTGTCCCCCACAGTAGGTCTCATCTGACGACGGAAATACAAGTATGTACTTTCTTACCGATTACTGGTAGCACAACTGCAAATGTAGACGCAGTAGAGCGACAGATACTGCCTGAGAGATGCTGGCCATGAACATTGGAATCTCTATAAACTTACTAAGAGGTTGAAATGAACTCATTATGCGTGAAGAAAGAAAGAAAAAAAAAGGCAAGTCAACAAGAAGCACCTTATTTTCTTACTATGTTGATGACTTGTGCTCTATCGTGTGCCACAAAATTGACATGGAAAAAGCTCCTATGAAATGCCGTTCTGAAGGAAATCAAACCCTGACTATATATGTAAGTGTTAATGTAGTCGCGTCAGACATCCCCTCTGTTATGAACTCAACCATTACAGTGACACGCTGACAGTTGACCCAGCCGTGAGCGTAGGCCTACGCTCATCGCCGCAGCCAGCGCTGGGCCGCCGCCGTCTCTTACACCAACACCAAACGAAACAAAAAAAAAATCAAGAGGTTCGGACTTGTTAGCCGTTATTTGGTAGGGAATAATAAGCATACGAGTGCTGTAGGTGTTTCTAGGTTAAGAGTAGGTCACAGCGTCGGGGCTTAACACAGGACTGTAAAACACAGACACCAAGACTAGGCTAGAGAATATAGCTCCACTGGCCGAAAATACTAAGTCTAGAATTACTAGGAGTCATATACTTAACTGCTTTCAACTTTTGACATTAGTACAGATATATGTATCGCAACAGTACATTGTTAGAAGATGGCTTTTTTCTGCGGCGAGCCAGAGTGTGATCTGGTATACGATGCCCTCTCTCGATTCGCTCGCCAGATAACAGTTACACAAACACACATTAAATACATGCATAAATACATACATACAGAAAACACACACACACACACTTTGAACAGACCGACAAGGAAATCAGTCGCATTTGTTACCAGCAGCATTCTCTCTGCTTTCGTGCTGAAGTGATATTTTGTGCAGTTCCCAGTGGAGTGGTCGTCAGTTCATCAGAGATCATTTGGTAACACATTCTACTGAAGCTATGAAGTCCCACACTCACGAGTTTTGCATGGACGGATTCAAGACAAAAAAAAACCATCTGCAACGCACGACACATTAACACAGCGACACACACACACACACACAGATGCATAGATGTTAAAATCCTGAGTTACACAGTAGCTAGTATGGAAAAAAAACAAAAAAAAAAGTCAACACAACACATGATGTTAGTGTCCCTCTTTTGTCCTTGTCTGTTTTAGTTCGATAGGTATTTGATCAGTGATTTTTATGCTTGTTATCCTAACCCTCCCCCCCCAACACACACACCGCTACGACACTTTTCTCTCGCCTCCCCTCCCGTCACTCACTTCTTTTCTAAAGCCCACACACAGAAACACACACCGACATATATCGAACACACAGGTCTCCCCCTCCTCACCCCTCACCCGTCCTGTATTTCAGTTCTCTCTCGCCTCCCCCATCCTCCCCCTACTTCCTCTCTGCCTCTCCGTTAGCCCTTTAGGACCGTTTCTATTGGCCGTTGTTTTGTTTTTTTTTCTTCTCTTTTCTCTTCTGGGCTGCCCCGCCCCCTTTAATCAAACCCAACTAACAGTAAAGGTTATATTAACGTTGATAATCAGTTTCTGTATGTTATCTAGCCAGAGTGGAGAAAAAAAAATTTTCAGAAAAAAAAAAAATCAAAACTGTTTTATTCAATTGTGCAAAATGTGTTTTTTCTTACTATTTTTAATGTTATTACATCTTCTAATCTAATCCTTCTACCATTGCTTCAGTTAGTACTGAAATACGCTTAGCCAACCTAGAGATTTGAACTGTAACGATTTGCCAGTTTCCTTACCTGTATTTTATATGGCATCTTTAGACCACTTCACCGTTTATTATGTACGTAAGTAAATATTTGCCCGTTTTTTCGAATTTGAAAATCGTCGTCTGCACTATGTTTGATCTCATGATATCCCCCCCACCCTCCCCCGATAACGATTTTTACTCAATCGAAAGCTGAACTCTTGCACAAAGCAGCGAAGCGTCTCTTGTGAACACCTGAGAACCAAAGTTACACCCAGCGTCCCCCC